CAGCTGCCTTCATTCTGAATTCTTGCGACCCTCTACGCAGACACTCTGAGAGATAATTTCCACAACGAAGAGAGTCTGTCTGAATACCCGAAGCTCAATATAGAGATTAACTCCCAAGATAGCCTTCGCTGTAGTCTCAGATCAAAGCCCCAGCACCACGTATGACTGAACGTGAACATTGACTGACTTCAATTCCCAAACAACAATATCCCGAAGACTAACCTGCCATTAGACATTACATTGGCCCCAATGGTGACAGTAGTCTTCCAGTTCATGTTCACCCATAAAGGATGCCTTGTAGATTCACGTCTCAGTTCGTACGGATCAAAATGTTATGTCGACTTGCAACCCCATTATGTATACATCCCCATATCAACTCCCATGCCGACATGGCTTTTAATTAAAACCCATTGACGTCTTAGACCCCGTGCCCGCCCAAGTTTAGGTCTGTTCCGAGGCCCAAAAAAAATCAGGCGATCCGGTGCGGCACGTGTTAGGGGATGGGCCGGTTGGGCATTTGAGCGGGAAGGGAGTGCGCAGCCCGACACCCGAACACCCTAAAGTTCGATGCTGCGAAGCTCTGTCTTCTGGAATGTCAGAAAGAACCAGGTGACTCAAGCAAGCAGTCAGGTATTCAAGCCTCGTAGCCACACCAGCAGTAAGCAGTAGCCGTCGCAGAAGTAGCACCAAGCAGCAGTTGTAGCAAGCCCTATGTCGTTACGTATCAGCAGAAGTATCACGACCACGGGCCTTCTCCTGGCTGTCCGCGGATATGGAGGTTGACGGCTCCTTTTCGGCTTCACGCCGCTGGAATAGCCAGGCTTCGATGTTCGGTGCGTCGGGACATGAGAACTCGAAGAAAGGTCACTCTCGTGGAGTCTTAGTGCAAGCGCTGTTTCCACGTCCTGATCCGTGCTCTGTTCAGTCGCGATCTCCGAGTCAACACCTGCACGAGGAAGAGCAGCTGCTAAAAATGCAGAGCGATGAATGTAAGAGCTTGAGAATAAACCACTTAACGGATAAATTGCAAAGACTACGCAATTCAATTACAGTCTTCCAGAGATACGCTGTGTGTGTATCTGAAGCAGGGAGAGAGAGAGAGAGAGAGAGAGAGAGGGAGAGGGGGAGAGGGGGAGAGAGAGAGAGGCAGAGAGAAAGAACGCCCTTTCGCGGATAAACCAGCAAGCCAAGCGTTCATGGCCTTGCGATGGACTGTTGGCGAGATGCTTTGTCTCGGCCACAAAGCAAAATGTCGCCACAAACCTAGGGAGCGCGGTGGCGTGCGTTACATTAGAGCCGACTTGGGCATACAGTGACTTAGACCCTCGGCTTCCGGATTGAGAGCACCTGGGTTTTGGGTGCGCCGGAGTGTGTATGCCACCTTCCGGCAGACTTTCAAGCCACGACCAGGAAGCCTGCGCGCAGGCTTGTCAACCCACCAAATCATCCGCCGAGATGCAACACCACGTTGAGCCCAGCGCTTATGAGCCAGTACCAGGAGTAGTTCTCCAAGTTCTGATGCCTTGGTCTCTCGAAATCAGAGGCAGATGCTTTTCTGTGCACACATTTCTGCGCGAGGCAGGCGACTCAAGCAAAGATGTTGGTTTTAATCCTCAGCTTTATTTGCGGTCAACCTGCATGCACACATTCATGGCCGAGCGAGTACCGTGGAGAACTTTGGGCCTTAATAACAACATCTTCTTCACACGACTATATAAGACGCAGGAATAGCGTGGTTTAACCCTTTGGCAGCCTGCCACATATGTGCTCTCGCTGCACAGTCCTCTGTCCAACAGCACGGCCTCGTGCACCGAAAAACGAGTTGCAGTTCTCAGGCCCACAGAAAATATCGTTTGCAGCGCCAAACCACGAAGCGGCTGACACCGATACCCTAGACGGCATCGACGACAGCCGCATTCAGGCACACAGGTCATCAAATGCAGGAAGGAGAATCCTTCAACCTCGTCCACGACTACAGTAGAACCGGAATGAACCGGGCACACCTTAGGCCTTCAACCCTCGTGCGAGCCAACATGTGTGCAACACACCCACGCTCCTCGCAATGTCACTCGCTTCCAAGCGGCAAAATCCCAAAGCCGCCTGCAAAGCCAAGGGCCCCCGCAAGGAACAAAGCTTGACCTCATCAGGCCCAAAGCTTCGCATGAAAGGTTTAGGTGTCAGGTCAGGAATCAGTATTCAGGCTTCAAGCCTAAAGCTAAAACCACAAAGGCCAGGCTCGGGGCCCCGTTTAGTCAACCTTGAATTCAGGGTGCCCCCGGGCCATCGCTCAGGGTTTGGGGTAAGGGGTTCAGGGCCACTGCGCTGGCAGCTGCGAGTCCCGATGACTGGAATGCTTCACAGGCCTCTTGCTTGGGGCAATGAAGCTCGGCACATAAACTCCGCAAAGACCCCACTGGCCAAAGTTCTTGTTCTTGCAGCTGCCGATTTTCAGAGGCATCATCATAGGCACTCCGAAGGAACCAGTGACAACTACATCTAACTACGTTCCTAACACCATTGCGGCGACAAGGACGTCGCTGACGGCGACCAGCTAGAGGACAGTCAAGACATTCAACGATGGGGACTACGAGAGACGACGGTCCGACCAAGACTACTGCTTGTTCACTTGTTCCACTATGATTGAGTCCTGTTTGCTTAGTTCGAATACGTTTTACTGCCCTTGATTGCAGAGTACAGAGGCATTTCTGATCGCGCACACCTTCCCATCATTTTCATCAACATGCGCACGAGCAGGGAACCATGGCCACACGGCTATCGATTTCACAACCGTGCTATCTGTATTGAAAAAGGTTCGTTATTGCTCAATACTCTTTCTACTGCTTCGATAATCGTTACTTGTCGTTCTGCTTGATCCATGCCCAAACCCTGATTTCGTAAGCCGCTGGCTCAACACTGACATTGCCCGGTTTCGCTGCTCGATCCTCGCTGGCGCATGGCCGTGGAAGACTCGTTCAGAGGATAACATGGCGAAAGTTCTGAAAAACCTGAGCAAAACACCTGGGCCGGAAAGTCTGTGACTTGTATTTACTAATCTGTTGCCTTCAACATCAAGCCGGTTCTCGATAGTGAAACCCAGAAGCCTCCTCGCCGATGAGCATGGAAACCCTCCGCGCCGAGTGGAACCACAGACATAAATCCAAGCATGGACACATTATGGAAAGCCTTACTCCAAGGGAAGCATACTCAAGTGCGCAGAGTCCGTGATGGATGACACCCGACCCGAACCGGAAACCTTGTCAGCAAAGGTTGCACCAAGAGTCTGGTTGTCCGAGAGGTCTGCAACCATGGCAGATATCCTCAGATATCTCTGCTTATTGAAGTTTATTAGCAACCATTCAAATCGGAATGTCGCCGAGCTTTCTACAGCGAACGGCGCAAAACCCGAAGAAGCTGCACTCCGTTGTCCACCCGGCTTCAGCTGCCGTCCAAGCTCCACCCTCAACATCTGCCTTCTGAGCTCAACAGGCCCACAAGAAGCTCCTAATAACGTAGGATCGTCCTGGAGAACCCCTAGTTCTATAATCCCAAACTAGTAGCAACCTTACTAAACCCCAATACGAACCCAGAGTTCCCGAAAGAAGATCCTATAACCTCCAAGTCGATGAGCGCAGCTGGGAGGACGCTGAGCATGGCGGAGATTGTTGCGCCTTCCGGAAGGCACATGGGGATCTCCCCAAAAATCGGGGACCCTATAATATAGTACCCGAAATAGTAGGACCCTTATTATAAGGACCCCCAAATAAGGCACCCCTTATTTTTCGGACACTCCCACAAGGGAATCAAAAGGAAGTCTGACTCAGGGAGGGCTTCAGAACTCTTACACTCGGACTAGCGGGTTTGGGGCTTTTTTGTGTAATTACCCATAAGCCCTAAAGTAGTTCTTTTGTGGGGTTCATATATAGAATCTTATAAGGTAACCCCAAAAAGAAACTACTATGGGGCCTATGGGTAAGGTTGCAAAATTGCAATCACGTTTAGGAAGCAGAAATGTTACGATCTTCTCGTGGTGACCGACCTGACATCGTGAGAGCTGCTCTAACCCTATAGACACTGCAACAAAAACATGACGTCTTCGACCTAAGATCAACCGGGCAGCTTTTCCGCATTTTTCCGCACTACGATACAGGAACTCCCTCTACGAAATCGGGGGTTTCCACTTTCGCAACTGGCACAACGCAGGCAAGACTTCGCGACGACTGCTCCAGGCTAATTAATTACTTTCAGAGTTTAAGGCTTACAGCTCAGGGTCACAAGACAGAATGAAAGTACTCTGGCAAGTCCAGTTGCCAGCGGCATTGATGCCGTCTTGCGTAAGCGTCTGGCCAATAAGCAGCGAGGACACAAACCTTGCTGGATGGCTTGGGCGTCAGGGCCCTGGCTGTGTAGTATGCAGACCCCTGCATTTCCACATGCTCTGCAACCAGCAAGCGGCTCTGAAAGTCACGCAGAGATGATAAAGGAAACAAGGTTAATGAGTCTATAAACCCACGGGAACTGATACAGGACCTAAATCAACTTTGATATCAATGCTCGGTATCCATGTCTCTATGGAAGCTTCACAATACCGTCATGCGATGTCGTGCCAATATGTACCATCCCACTACAACGCCCAATGTGCGTTCCCCATCATCCCTGCAGAACCTAGTCTAGAGACGAACCTCCAAGGCTTCCACGCTACATCGGGGTTCAAGGCAGAATGTCTACACGAGCAGTAGACACGGCAGATCTTGATTACTTGTGCCTAGCCTCCTGGCTACTTCTTAGGACAATATACTCATGCTGTTGAAGCTGTGTGAGCAGATTGTGCGTGTGATGTATGCATGACTTATACATGTACAGTACAGGGCCGTCGACTTTTCAGAGATAAGGGGTGGGCGGCTGCATGTGGCTTTGCAAAGTTGTTCACACATGCGTAAAAGAAACTGGTCGCAGGCAAACGCACCTGCTCATACGTTACATGCCATGCTTGCACTGCACAAGTGGATGAACGGCGCATGACACGTGGCATTTCATGGCAGCACATTACGTAATGCTCTCGCTGCACAGAAGGACCGTGTTCGTGCAAAGGGGTCCGATGTAAGCCAAGTGTAACCAAGCGCTTGATTGCTAAATGTTTTGCAATCGTATGCATGTGCCTATATGAATGTGCTTTGTATATGTATGTGTATATACAGATATATACAGATGTACCTCACTCTCAGTATACTAAATATCCATGCATGTGCGTTATATGCGTACGTGCATCAGCCGGGGAAGAAACGCATGCAAGAGTGGACTTAATTCGCTAACACACAGCGTCATGCGATTAAACTCGTGTATTTGCAATATTCTCTATGCAAAGCACCGTTGAATAGGCACAATGTAAGTGCACATACATTCAACTCATACGTCCATACCAACTTCATATGTGACCACGGGCGTGTCCGTGTGCGTAGACGAACACACAAACACACATTGAGCGTACACAAGCACTATGCTCGTCAAGGTGCTGCATCACTGGCCGAATCATGCTTCCTGTTCAGGAGACTTGGGCTGCGATGTCGAAGCCACGAAAGCAGATTCAAGACTCAATTTCGGATCCAACGGCTTCGCACCGCAACACGTAGCACAAGCACCATAAAACCAAAGCCCTCACATCGAATCCTCAAGCTTCCAGCCTTGGGTCCCTAAACCCTGTACCCAGAACGCGCTTGGGTCCCGCAGCCCCGTACCCTACATGCCCTCATGTCGGTCCGATGATGGCAAGGAGGATGAAGGGCTTACGGCCATGCCTGAGCGGGCTTCGGTCTTTGGCTCAGAAGGCATTACAAAAATTGACATAAATGTATAGAGCACATTATAGGCATAATATTCACTCAATTTTGCACATTTTTTGAAGGTTTCGCAACCTTGAATTGACTCCTCAAAAGCCGCGAGGACTCGCCTAGAAAGGCTTTCCAACAGTCCAGAATCCGAGAATTTTCTGCGAAACCCAGCAGTGTCATCTTACGTCGAACCCTAAACGAACACCCTTGTGATACTCTAAGTCACCGAACGAAATCGTATCCGACTTCTCAAACCCCTATCCGCCTCTGCCACTAAGCCCAACGCGCTTGAAGTACCCGTGCGCTTGCGAACGGCTGTGGTCGCGGAGTAGCAAATCGATAAGCCGAACATCGACAACGATCGAAAAAGTTAACATCCAAAAGCACCGCAAAAGGCGAAGCCCAAACCCCAACAAGTCTGGTTAAAAAACCACTGAAGTTCAGCCAAAGTATCCATGTTTTGGCTACTTCTTATCCTGATTGGGTGAAGAGGCAGACATGCCTGTGTTGGCTACGATTTGGTGCTTTTGGGAGCACGAAATGGTCAGAAATCGCTCCAGTTGGGGCTCAACAAAAAAAGCCAAGCTGGACAAACTCTTGAACAATTACTCGGACCTTGCCCACGTCCTAGCCTGGCTCGACGGAAAAGCCTGCAAAGTTCAACAATTGCAGAAAACAACGCACCGACGACAAGCAGAAAACCCGAAGATCACCGAGAAATTCGCAAGGCACATAAACGAAAAACGCACGCAACATCGACGACATCGAACAGCTAAGAACTCGAAAAGTACGAAAATCGCAGAGCCAAACAATTGTGCACTTTTGGACGTTTCGAGATTTGCATCCGCAGCTGAACTAGAAGCCCTGGTGCCAATCCAGGAGTGGCCCCAGGAAAATGACGGCCACAGCACTGCCGACCTCAGGCAACTCCGAAGGCAAGACCACTGTGATGGCGAAATACTATACATACTGCCAGGGCTCTACCAACACTACTGCTACACTCTACTACGACGACTACCAGTGCTGCCACTTACTTCTTGTCGCGTTGGCATCAGTAGTTTGAAGCCAGGGAAGGGGCAAGGAGAGGGGCGTACGAACCGTCTCGGTCAACGGCACTTGTGTTCCTTCCTAGGGCCTGCCAGGCTCTTTGCCTCTTCTTGGCAAAGTATATATATATATATACACATATATATATATATATAGATGTATAAACATATATATATATATACACACACACACACCATAAGGGTTTGCAATGCGCATAGACCCGCAAAAAGCCTTGCATCTGCCTCTGGGTGTTGATCACTTTCCCAGCCATCGGAAAATCTTCTTGAGAACAGGCTACCCGAAAGACTATAGTAACCACTCTAGACTACAAGTGAATCTCTGCGGAGCGGACGTCGCCCGCCTCCGAAATTCAATCAAATTTACCCGTAAGTCCAGGGTCCAGACTAGGCCAGCCTCCTCTTTCTTGGCATGGCACAACAAACACACACGCACCAAACGAAATGCTCCCTGCTGACATGTCTGAAAAACCTGACCATACAGGATTGATGCCTCACATTCGCATGTGGTATATATCCCGCTACAGCTGGAAAGCAGGCAATGCAAGCAATCTATCTGCGCCTGCGCCGATGCAAGTCTCTGCCCTAGCTCAAGACCACGCCGAGTCTCCCCGTCTGCTGCAGAAATCATGGACATCGCTGACTTCGAATCATTCAATACCTGAGGAGGCAGAACGGACCGAAGTTTGACGTTCTTAAGGCAGCACAGCCACAAGGTACCGGTTTTGACGGAGGGCCCTGCAGCTCTGCTTCATTGCCTTTCTGTTCATGCCAGACCCTATAGGGATGAGGGGTCTGAAGTATACTGGCTATCCCAGGTCCAAGGCACGCGGTTTCGCACAGAACAGTGCTTGGAGAAGGACCACCTGGCGATGATGATGCAAAGCTTTGTTGACACGGAGACAAGATCCTCCCGATTGCAATACTGCAATACATCCCATACGGAGACAAAATCCTCCCGATTGCAATACGGCCACATCAAAGGATGTATTGCAAGGCATTATAAAAAGGGGCGAATAAACGAGACCTGGAGCACAGAAGCGGCTCAACCTTTAGCCACGAATCAGGCTCAAGACTTCCCACAGGATCACTGTTCTGACTCACGGATAATATAGGGGCCTAATAATTAGAATAGGGCTTGGCGGCCCATTATACTATAACTGTAATAATAAGGAACCCCCCAAAAATAGTATAGGTAATTATTTCGGCTCCTACATTACGCCAATTTATTACGCCAATGTTAAAGGCCCAGTCGTCCACGGGTCTTCCAACTCCAACTCCAAGTCGCTTGGGAGAGCTTGGAGGCTCCGCGACGCAGCTCGGCGGCACGCTGGCAGACCCGTCATCTAGGGACCTTAATATTGCGGCCCGTTATAGTATAACGATATATAATAAGGAGCCCCCAAAAAAGTCTAGGTAATATTATGTATTATTATTATTACTATTCTCAAGGCCCAAGGCCCTATATTAAACAGGATAAGCATGGACCCCCGATCCCCTGATGCTCTGAATGGCCGACGGCGTGCATTCCCGGTCCCAAATCCTGAGCCCGTAAGCCCCAGAATCAGCTTCAAGGCTTCAAGCTCAACTATAGCGTTTTTTTTTTGACGGAGGGGGTGGGAGGAAACATACTTATCTACGGACTTTGACTGAGGTGGTATGTTCCCAAGTTATTCAGACCTCCTCGGTTAGTAAGCCTGAGGCACGCATCCTCCAACTGGACTGACCCAGGAGGGCAAGGCGGGGTCGGATCGTCACAGTAGACGATGGACATGAGGAAGGCATTTTCCTGAGAGATGTCGAGGCTTCATCCATGGCAGAGGAACCCTCATGTGCGCCTTTGTTTTTGTGGGGGGGGGGGGGGGNNCAGGACGGTTAGCAAAAAGGTCTCTCAGCTGATAAGAATGACAAGGGAGTTTCAAAGATGTTTCTGGACGCCGTGCGCATAACCATGGCCGTTAGGAGGTAGATTCCTGTATATTCTGCCTTGTGTTGCGGTTAAAAGCTACGGTCTTGCACAGCCTCCGAAGCGGTTTCGCCTGATCAAATCCAAATCCGAACGAGGAGCCAAGTCGTAGAACAGCGCCCGGTTCAAGAATATGAAGCAAAAGCCCACGCAGACCACTGCGAGGAAGTGGCGGTTGCTTCCTGAGCTCTTGAGTGACCCTTCCGCCCCCCCGTTCACCCTAAACTTGAAAGCCCTTCTTAAGGCCCCAAACCCGAAAATGGCCATGTGACATCTCAACGCTCTCCAAAGTCGGTATCCTGCAATCCTTCTGAGTCATGGCAGGGGCTTGCCATGCCCTTTATGTGCTTAGGGATTAGAGGTTTGAAGCATAGGTATTTTGGGCGGATCAGGGCGGTATGGCGCATGGGGTCATGCTCCTGGCAGGGTTCAATCTAAAGGGCAATCTTCTTTTTCCCACCCGCCCAGCTGAGAGAGTCGCACCAATCTTGTAAGCTCTAGGGATTATGCTCTCACAACTCGGCACAACCAGATGAGGTGTCTCCGTTTGCAGTCGGTTTCAGGAGGTCCACTCAACACTGGTCGGTGCCAGCCTACACAACACAAGACAAAACCGACATAAACAAACTTCAGTTCCCACCAGGGCCATGTGCACCAAACTGCGACGTAGGGGTTAGGGTCTGGCATTCGTGCCTTACAGCCTTATCCAGGGTTTGGGGTATGTGGTTTAGAGTTCGGTTTCGACTCGCACACTCGCACGAAGGCTGGCACGGATTCATGAGTCGAGTGTTCGGCTTAGGGCTGCGGACATATTGTGTGCCCAGGACCGTACGGCTGCACCCGACCGCGGACCCGACAAGTCATAAACCCCAAACCACCCCCAATTAAATCCTCGCATGCCCTTTGTTGCAGAGGCTTGATCACTGCTCGCCCGGCCAGCTTTCCTGCGTGCCCTAGAGCCCAAGATACTTGTCAAGCCTATCCAATCGCTTCATATCCTGAAATCCATAGCAAGACCTCCAACAGAAGCAGCACCCTTTCTCCGAGTTTCGTAATCTTGCCATGGGTGCGCTGCGCGACGCATAAGGGCTCGCTGGCCGTGTCGGTCGATGGCTGTCAAAACAAGATTCAAAGAGTTCCTCTTGTAGTGGACTGCAGAACATTCGAAGCACGAGGTTATTGATTGAGGAATGTCATCTACTCGAAGCCTTGGACAGCTTCCTGACATAGAAGCTGCGGTAGGCAGACTCAAGGCTACAAAGGCTGACAAAAAAAACATGAGTGCGAAGCTTAAACGTCTTTGTGTTTCCCACACTCTCGGACATTCGACCATCTGGTGAACCACTTGCCCGAGTCAACTGCCTGGGTGTTGATAGGTTGTGTTGGGTCTGGTAGGACCCAGCTGCAGGGCGACCCAATGGCCTAATGCAATCTGAGAAAGAGATGGAACTTCGGAAGGTTGCAGAACAGCCTTTACAAGTTCGGGCTGCCGACTTTGCATTCCAAACTTGCCAAGCAAGCACACTCTCCTTCATCACGACGTCCTGATCTGGCCGAGGAAACCGCCTGGGACACCAATCTTGCTCTAATATAGACGCCTATTATGAATTACCCATATTATTCCTTAGGGTGCCCTATTCTATGTATACTAAAGCTATGGAGCCCAACACCCTTTTCCAACTGTTAAAGCCCCTCTACATGAAATCACCTTCATAGCCGCCGCCATATTCTTCATACCCTGAGCCCCGAAGCGGCAGAAGCTAGGCAGATGCCACCGTCTTAATTATACACTACCTATAGTCTCCATAGTAGTTCAAGGTAACCCCGCAAACGAACTACAATAGAGACTATAGGTCGGTACAACTCTCAATTGCCATACCTAGGCCCATAACTGCGCACCTCACATCGGACAAGCCTCCAACAGAAGCCAGAAACTTAGAACAGCATTATCCTCATACCCGCACGGCAAAGATCCGGGAAGCCCTTCATGAAGCTCATACGAGACCCTAAACATCCAAGCCCAAAGCCCTATAAACTCCCCTTCACCCGACACTGCTTCTGCTGCCAGAGCTGCTTCCCGCCGCTCCTCAACGTCATAGCCAGGTCGGCGAGCCTCACGGTGCAATGCAAAGGGCTTAGCGTTTAGGGCTTGAGGCTTTAAGGCTTTAGGGTTAATGTAAGGGTTTGCGCTTTCACAACTCGGACAAGCCGGGAAAGGTGTGCTTGCTTGGTACGGGATATCCGGATGTGTCTCATCTCCATCAAAAGGTATGGGCACGGTCGGCTTGATGAGCTATGGCTGCATTAATGATGACTGTTGTGGCCATGCAAGTGCATGCTCTACATGTTTCTGATCTTCCTGATCTTTGTTGGTGTTTGTTTTATCAACTGCTGTTGCCATGTAGGTACGCTAACTACAAGTACTTACGAAATTGCAGGAGCCTGGGGCCGCTCCTTATGAAAACAACAGGCCTCCACCGAGGGTTCTTGTCAAACACTTGTTGAGATGTCAGAAAGTACTATAAGCATCAACCCTGCAATAGCCCTCAGCTATAACAAGACCCAGCTCATTCATCCTCAATTCCTTGTCGTCCTGCCTTTCGTAGGCCAAGAGCACCTCGATGGCTGAGGAACTCTATGAAGCTCGAACTAATAAGGGTTCATCTGAAGGGGCTCTATAAGAGCTACTGTGGTGGGCTAAAGGGTATTGTGATGGCTTAGTATAAACACCTGACGGACAGCCATGCACAGGAGAAACAGGGATAACCATGCTTCTGCGAACGCACGCTTGAGCTTCACAAGGCTCTGCGAGACATGTTGTTTACAACCTTAACCTGCACATTCTCCTGTTCACCCAAAGGTGGGAGACAAGATGGGTCCAATAGCGCAGATTCAGATTTGAAACATGGAAAGCTGCTCAGCTTAAACATGCGGACAACCCCAAGCCGCAAATCCTCTGGATCCTACTGTAGGGGCCTTAATAATTTGAATAGGGTTTTGGAGTATTTTAAACTATAACTCTAACAAGGAACCCCTAAAATAGTATGGGCAATTATTAAGGCCCCTGTCCTCACCCTGGCAGGCCAGGTTGCAGCATTGGACCACTCCCGAAAAGCCACACGCGGGGCGCAGAAGGCCTGGAGTGGGGTCGTTTCTTCCTACAGCGCCTTGAGGCGGTGAGCTTTGACTAAGGGTTTCTGGGAGCTGCCCGCCCATGTAGCAAGATTGCCCGGCACATCAATTTGGGGTTTTTTTGCCTCCTACTTAGCAATTTAGGGTTTAGAGTTTAGGGCATACCTAAATTCTGCAACTTGCTCTGAGCCCAGATTTCGGCTCTCAGCCAGGAATTAACGAAACCTGCACTGCCCACTCGCTGGCCGCTACAGTAGCATCACCTTCGGCCACGGCCTTTCGTGAAGTCTTCTCATCAACGGCTGCACGCAGAAGCCCCGGAGAGTGCCAAGCTTCATGGAAGAATCACTCATATACTCCCAACATTTAATCATCACAAAACCGTTACACCACCGACGCCTCTCCCCATGAACCTTAGAAACCGAGTTGGAGCCCATGCACTGGGGCTTCAGCGAAAGCTTGCAGAAGCTGCGACCGAGGCAATGCCCTCAGTGGAACTGACGTGGAGCCGGTTTCGGCGCTCACACTGGCGCACGAGGAAAGGACAAGCAAGCGACCGATTGAGGTCAGGAATCAAAGCTGGAGAAGAATCAAAACCAAGGTTCCGCGATCTAGTGGAACAAAACAGCATCAGCAAATCATTCGGCATGAGTTCCAATGGGCATCACATCGTCAGTCGAGCTCGATCAGGCATCCGTCGTCCACATTTGGGGGATCGGGCTTGGTTAATTAGGAACCAAAGGCTTGTGCCTTAAGAGGTCCTTCAGAGGGGTTTAAAGTTCACACCACGTTTCTTCAAAACTGACTCGTATATATATATATATATATATGCTTGGCGACATTTGAGCTCGTATACTAAAATTCGAAACTATTTTGCTAGCTCAGATTTCCTGGGAGGGTCTTCACACAAAGGATGTGCAAAAATTAGCTCTAGGGTCCAATCACCTTCTTTGAGTTAACTTCTCTCTATCTCTCTCCCTGTCCTGTTAAGGCTTACGGCTTCATGATATAGCTCCGGGTAGCAAAGTAAGGGCAACTTGCAGAAACAACTAACCACGGTCAGGGACTCTGTATGTAAGGCACGCTGAAGTGCCAGAGTCAGGAAGTACCTAAGCATGGCCCTGAGAACAGTAGACAGGTCTTAATTCATAGGTAAACTACGGCTTTGGGGGGTATAGTATAGTACAGTATGGTATAGTATGAAGAAAAACGACAACGATTTTGTTATATATCTATACATCTATACATATATATATATATATATATATTTTTATGATCTTTACTGTACTCCCCCCTTGCCCAGCCCTGAACCCCTGGCCCTAGCGGGAAAGCGGACCGGAGCCAGGAGCCGCACTCGCAGGTGGAGACCAAGGACGCCAAGAACCTGCTCGGTGATGCTTGGTTCAGGCTTTGCAAAGCCTTTTCCCTATTTTGAACGAGGTCCCTCTGAGAAAAGGCCTTCCCTAAACCATAAACCCTACTTTAGGGTGCGGGGCAGTGTAGGGTTTGTGGGATCTGAGACATGGTCACCCATGGTCTGGCGGAAGGCATCTGAGGCGGGTCTCTCTCTCTCTCTCTCTCTGTCTCCCCATGTATGTGCTACAAGTATGTGTATGTGCATATGAGTACATACATACATACATACATACATACATACATACATACATACATGCATACATACATACATAACATCTCATTTCATTTCTTTTCCTTTCATTTCATTTCATTTCATGTCATTTCATTTCCGTTCCTTTCCTTTCCTTTCCTTTCCTTTCCTTTCCTTTCCTTTCCTTTCATTTCATTTCATTTCATTTCATTTCATTTCATTTCATTTCATTTCAGTTCATTTCATTTCATTTCACTACATACGTACGTACATATACACATATGTGCAAACTCGCTACTCATCTGTCTTTCTTGCTCTCTGTCTATCTGTCTGTCTCTCTCTCTCTCATCTGTCTGTCTCTCTCTCTCTCTCTCTCTCTCTCTCTCGTACTAAGGCAAAGAAAACGGATATGAGCGCAAGCTGAAGCAGCTATACAGACCTACAGAGCCATACATCCATGCATGCATGCAAGCATGCATACATAAAGACAGACCGAGGGACAACCATACACTCGTACATTGACAAAGTCATGCGCACACACACACACACACTCGCACGCATATATATATATATATATATGTATATATACAAATATGAATATGCATATCTGTATATATATATATATGTACACGGACGCATGTATGCATTATCTGCAGAATATGCTTACATGCAAACATGTCTATGTGCATGCATAGTTCCACATCTTACACATTGTGCATAGATCACATACGCTACACCACAGACAGTACGCCACACGATTCTGCTAATATGTACATACAAACATGCATGCACATATGCATATGGGTATGTTTTCTTGCTCACATTACTCGTGTTCGCTTACTTACTCCTCTGCTTACTGAATAACGCAATAACCATCAGTAACCCAGGAACCAACAAATGGACTAATCACTCAACTTGTGTTAACAATACAGCTGTTTCCGTCGCTGTGTCTGTTAGTCGGTCTGCCTGTCCGTGCTTTTTGCTTTATTATCTCTGTATGTATGCATGTCATGAACTACATGTATGTATGTAGGCAGGTAGGCAGGTAGGCAGATAGGCAGGTAGGCAGGCAGGCAGGCAGGCAGGCAGGCAGGCAGGCAGGCAGTAGGTAGGTAGGTAGGTAGGTAGGTAGGTAGGTAGGTAGGTAGGTAGGTAGGTAGGTAGGTAGGTAGGTTAGGTAGGTGGGTCGGTCGGTTGGTCGGTCGGTCGGTCGGTAGGTAGGTAGGTAGGTAGGTAGGTGAGCAGGTGAGTAAGTGTATGTAGATGTGAAGCAGTGCGTGTAGGTTTGTGTGTGTGTGTGTGCATGTGTGTGTGTGTGTGTGCATGATGCATGTAGGTATGAAAATACTATAGATAGGCAGGCAGGTGCGCGATTCAGAGAAGCCCACATGATTCCCCACCTGGTGGGCACGTCCCGTGTGGGGCCAAAGGCCTGTCGCCACAGAGCTGCGAGGTCAGACCTGACGGCCAAACGGCATAAACCCTTTCCAATCCCAAACCCTAAACGTAAACCCTTTTTGCATCAGGGCTTGTGCAATCGCCTGAATTTCTGAACCTACAGAAGTTCAGCTCTCATGACTGCGCTTCCATACCTTCCTGAACGTAAACCCCCTAAACCCCAGCAGCTGCTTTGACAATCACCTAACATGCACATCCGCAAGGCGATGGGAACGAGTCTCTGCTGGCCATGTACGGCGGCTTCGTCACTCACACTTGGTATCATTTAGGCCAACTTTCAGTCTTGCTACAAAACCGAGATCAGGTGGTGATGGGGTTGTGTAGAGAAAGTTTATTGTGAAATCAAGCTGTAAATGCATATGATCGTGCCTGCGAAAGAAAGATGGGAAATCTCAGGCTATCTCAGGCTAGACCCGTCTGGCGTCGGACCCAAGTTGGAAAGCACAACGTGGACTGACGCACATCTTTTCTGCTCGACGCTACCAGAGTCTGCACCTGAAACTGACAGCATCCGCCAAGCCCCAGCCAACTCTGTTCTAGACTCATGAAGATGTAGCCTGGTGGTTTGCAGAGGTGCTGGGATCCTCATTCATCTCTTTTGGAGATGAGGCAGAGTCTGAACTTGTTGTCTTGCAGAATGTGCTATCCGCATGCCCCAACAGGATGCTTCCTCTTCTCTTGCACCGTCAAGGTATAATGACGATGCTGTATCTATGACTACTGTCCTTCTGTCTTTTCCCTACAATAACGTGTACGCCGATAAATGCCAAAGTTACGATCATGGCCACTCTCTTCACTGTCAACATGCGCCAACATTGCGCCAACTAACTCTACTACGAAGATGGTGGCAAAAATGCCGTGATGAAGCCACTATTAGGTATCCTGGTCACACGGTGTGCCTACCAAACAAGATGATCAGTCTAGTTTAGGCTGAAGGTGGATCGTCAAGGTGGCGCATCGAGAGAGCGTGAGTTTCGCCCCGGCATCACTGCCACGTCAATGCGGGATCCAGGCTCCAGAACGATCCAGGAAGGGACATCTGCCTAAGACACAGCACATGGAATTGAGAAAGGCACGGAGCTTGGGGGCCATTCAAGACAGACCGTGGGACATTGGTTTATTTCCTTGAATTTCCGGCATGAGCTTGCTATAAGGACCTAGATGCCTGTTTGAGGGGGGCACTGTATGCTGCTAGTAACTTGTAGTGCACATGTACAATTAGATTGCAGACAGAGGAAGAGTGGTCTGAATTTCTGGGGCTTGTAAACAAGCCTTCGGTTTGCTGTGATAGAATCTGACAGAAGCTGTCGATGCACGTGCAAACCACCAAACCTTTAGAAGACAACAGCAACGAACCCACCTATCCACCTACTTTAGATTCAACCGGCTAAAAAGCAAAAACATGACGAATCGACATCTCAGCGGCCTGTTCCACGTGCTCTTGTCCCTGCCACAGGCAAGACTGCTCAAAGCGCATGCACGAAACACAGTACAATCTGTGCAGAGGTGCTACATGTTGGAAAGGCGCCCGGCCACATCAAGCAAGTTCTTGGAAGATCTAATACATGCAGTTAATAGCTGAAGCCCACATACGTTGCGTCCAAGGCACGTCCTGCTCACGTATGGTCGCACGTGAAGATGGTCCTGTTAAACAGGGGGCCACTCAGGCGAAAGAGGCACTCAGCACTCCATCCTTTCGACGCGGTCCTTCAGGTAATCGATCATGTCACCGGGAGCTGCTTTCAAAGGCCGATTAGCCTTCCCAGCTTCCACGTCTTCACAAATTGGTGCCTCTCTCTCTCTCCCTCCGTCTCTCTCTCTCTCTCTCTCTCTTTCTCTCTCTCTGGGTTGCTGCAATGTCTGTAGACAGGGATGTTGAGAATGTTGCATAAGAGACACGCGTGATTGTGCATGTAATGCCCTCTGGCGAACAAAACCGCTCCGGAACGGCCACGAGGTTGCAACTCATGCTCATGTTCATGCTTATCGCGGCAGGAAAATATATCTGCATGCTGATAACACTGGAATTACCTATGCAGGCTTGTGGATTTGACACATCGCCATCTGTTACAGGTTTGGTTTGGGATAAGGCTTCCAAGGTAATTACTTCAAGCACGTGGGGCAAGGTACAACTCTCGTGTTGCTTGCAGGCTCGGACTCACGTGGACAGATTCTGTATCTGCGAGCCTTACTTTAGCAAGGATGGGGGTTCATACTAGGGATGCTAAGGCTTAGGGAACCTTACAGATCCCATAATCTGCTAGCTGGTTCTCCTCTCGACTCGAGTTGCAGTTCTCAGAATACTTGCTTGCAGTCTCTTGCATGTTTATTGGCCAAGCCGTGCATTGAGAGCTGTCGTACCAAGGCGAAGACCTTTTAGGAAATGTAGGTTCACTATGGAGGTTCACCATGAAGCATTGACTACCATGCCTCCGTGCAATTTAGCGCATGTTCCCCAGATAGCTAGCACCGGGATGCACAACATCTCCAGTTAAGAAGTTGACAACGGGAACTACTGCATCATGCGTGAACTTCGCAGTACGACGTTTCGGCATCTTGTGCTGACCGTGTTGAACTGAGAAGGTTCCACCTTCGCCAGGAACAGCGCCCCAGGCAAACTCACCACATACCTTCCAGAGCAGGATGGTTAGTTTTCCGGCCGCTCCCAGATAGATCCGTGCGAGGATTCACTTTAGCCGTGTGCCGAAGCCATTCAGCAATACGGAGGCCTTACAAACTAGAATGTGTTGGGTTTTGAGGCATATTGTGGTAGTATATCTACAGTATAACAGTAAAGCGAGAAGGAATCTTATGGAATAGTACCGGGCATTCTGCGGAGCCGGATGACCGAAACTGCACACACTTCACAACGACAGGGTTTGGCTTGGCGAACCAAAACCTATGAACTCCAGCTGTTGTGTTTGCAAATACCCGAGAAGGACGTCGTGAAGCCCAGGTGCGAGTGAAAGCACTTTGCATCTCCAGGAAGCCCATACTTCCTGACACCACGGGCGAGTCTGAACTAGTCATTTTCCTTTGAGGGTTCTTTCTTAATCAAACATACGAAGCATACGTCCACAACGACGACAGGGATGACAGAACAGCTGGTCAGATGACGTAAAGCGGACAGTGAAGCGAATAACCTCCAAACAAACTGGGGCCGCATGACTTAAGGCAAGGGGCGGGGGAACAAGCACCTGTATGGCCCATATTGTTGTTTCAGGTTTTGGGTTCAGCAACATTTTGCCAGCATCGACACCACGGCAAAGCACGAAGAAGGGACGCCCTGTGAGTGCAGGCCTTTAACGCTGATATTGTGTCAGCAGCAACTCCAGAATGCACGGACAACATCACACATTTCTGACTGTGGCCAGAGTATGCCCACTCTGATGCCCCAACCCGTGAATGCTAAACCCAACGCCGAGCCCAGACCCCCACGTCTGCTTTGACCGAGCATCACTTTGGGAATCTTCCGATCATCTTTGGGCGGGGCGTCGCCGCAGTAGCCCAGCTGCAGAACATCAAAAGCTGGCCTCACTTAAGGCTGAAGGAAAGTGAGGAACAACGGCCGCACTATGGACGAGACTCAAACATCAAGAGCACTAAACTGTAACAGCGGCATGGACTGAACGGGTCATGGCTACTGACATCTTGCTTCTCGCATGCTTTGTGCGTGGAGTTGCCAACTCTCCCGTTTCAACTCTTATTGCAAGCCGTCGTTGAAGTAGTTGGTAGTGGTCATGCCCATGGTCTTCGCCGTTGCATCGTTTTCTGTCTAACCTACACAGTAATCTAAATGCATCGTCACCTTTAGCAACGCTTTCAGTTTTGGTGTTTCAGGCTTCAAGTCTTCAAGATTCCGTCATGACGGGGTGCAGAACTTGGGCTAGCGCCTGGCCACTTCCAAGCTGCAGTATGCCAACTCGTTGTCAAAGCAGTAACACTACTCAGCAAAGGCTTAAGCACCCGGCACACTCTCTTTCACAGTCGAGAGCCGCGTCTGGAAATTCGGAGCGAAGGACACGGTATCCTCGAAGATCGTGGCCTGGGCAAAGAGATTTCGAGCTACTCTCGGAAGGCCATGCAAGGAGGCACGACCATGGGTCTCAAGCCAGCTTCAACCGCAACTCAAACTCTGGAAGGCAACAACGGTTATGAGGTTGGGCTTCATTCACAACCCGCGGCGACGGTAACTAGTTTGGACGAAGCATGCTGTGTCGGAGAGCAGTCCGGCATAGTGTGGAAAGCTAATGCAAATTGAGGGTAGGTCCCGAATTGCCACGGTGTAGGGAATTGGTGAGGGCTTAGTTGATTGGAGCAGGACTTTCCAACTACGCAGAACAGCCCGGATATGACCCGTGTGCAAGTGTGGGAAACAGGGGTAGTCAAGTTGGGCTCGGGGCTCTTACAATGCCCGTGGGACACCCGTGAGCACTGGCAATGACACAGCCCCATGTGTGTGCACTCTGAATCATCAACCGTCTCCAACCCAACCCTTGCTGCCCGGGTCACACAAGTCAACTGCTCCTTGGAAGCAAGCGCAAGGTTCAGGGTTGCGGTGTTGTTGGGTTTAGGACATGGCGCCAAACAGCTCGGTTAAGGTGTGCTGACTTGTTCGCCTGGCAGAATCTAGATCTAGAGCTTCAACAAGGCACGTGCGGCACGACAAAAATCCACAAAGGAGGCCCTTTCATCCCTAAGCGCAGGAAAGGCTCGTCAATGACCTTCTCGTAAATCTGTCGGTGGGTGAGGGCCCGTGCCATCGACTCGTCGCAGGGGCACGACTCCTGTAGTCTGTTCTCTGCAATACATTTGAGATTCGGAGTGTCGGTTCCGGACTCTCTGGCAAGCGTGGTGTCGGTTTCTGGATTGGGGTATGCCCGACACTTTTTGAGTGTAAGTTGGTTTCGAGGCGTTGGATGGTCAGTCGGATGTATCCTGGAAAGGTTTGATAAGGTCCGCAGGATGCAAGCCCAGTCACTCTACCCACTACGACTGACTTGAGCATCGGCCAAAGCAATTCGAAGCTGCTCGAAACCCTACTACATCGGTTTAACTCGTGGGACTAACTAAACTACAGATCCACCGCCCTTTAATCCAACCTGATTAGAACCTATACCACACAACTCTGCATCGAATCAAGCCTCCAGCATCCTATAGCTCCATACCGGTAGTTAACCTGCAAATAATCACTTATAGCAGCTCCGCATCCCTGGTCGTGTTGGCGCTTCCTTGCCCAACTCTTGCGCCAGCTTTGGATCTGTCCTCCGCGGGTGTCTTCAGAGAAAGGGAAGAGGCAAATGCAGTGAACCCCGGGATGAAAACACAGGGCCTGCATGTCCGGTGTAATGTAAAAGCCTGAAAAAATAATAATTAGAATACGGTTTTGGGGCATATGAGACAAGAATTATACTGAGGACCCCCTCAACAAACAATAGCCCCCATATTATGCTGGCTTTAGGGAGCCTCTAGAGCTGCATGTCGGCCAAAGCAGGAATCCACAAAATCCCAAGGAGTGGCGTAGGAGCTATTTGCCAAAGCTGTGACGGCTTGAGGCGTCCTGGGATCCACAGACGGCCAGTAACTGACGTTCTTCGCGATTCCTGCTGCTTCCAGCTCCTCCATCTGGATCTCTCCATCATATTCTGCATGTAAGTTCTATATTCTCTATGTTTGACACACGCTCGGTGGGAAGAATGGATGTCTCGACAAAGCTACATACAGTACCGCCTCCCGACCTAGACCCGCAGATGCAGTCTCGCTCTGTGGCTAATCTATTTCACGGCATCCTCTGGAGAGGTGGCCGGGCAGGGACGGGTACTTCGTCCAGGGTCCAGCCTACGAGTTTTGGCACGGTATCTAGATACAAAGGGTGTGTTAAAGCCTGTATGCGTATGTAATATATATATATATATACACATAGATGCATATGCCTGTATGACCCTGTATGCGTATCTGCATGTGCATGTGCATATGTATATGTATATGTACGTACTGTTGCACATACGTAATTTGTATATGCAAATACATATATATATATATATGTGTGTGTGTGTGTATATATATATATGTGTAGCTATGTATGTTGTATGTATGCATGCATGCGTATAATTATGCAGGGAGGTATATGTAGGTATGCATATATATCCATACGTACATGTATGCGAACATTCACGTCTCTCTCGCTCTCTCTCTCTCTCTCTGCCGTGCCATCCTCAAAGGTCTCGCTACACAAAGGCAACACGCATGCGTACATACATAAATGTGTTTGATGTTACTTGCCTAGATTTTTGCTTTATGTGTGCCTTCCTTATCCAACTATGTGTATGACTCAAGAATCTGAAACTTCCCGGATGTCCTTTTTCAGCGTCTTCCTGCGCTCACGGCCCTCCTCCCCGCGAGCGCTGATCACATAAACCTGGGTAGTCAGTCCAGTCCGATACGAGTGGCAGCACCATCTCAACAACACGTTTTCCGGCTGCTAACGTGAAACTCCATGTAGCATCGCAGGCTTGCACACGGACTGGAAGATCCGCGAAACAACAAAGCCCCAAACCAGGAAAAACCCTTCCGGGCCATGCCATGCAGGAAACAAGTCACCCTGAGAGCCAAGGCAAAGAGTTCACCTACCTTCAGTGCGACCGACAGCCCGCCGCAAGCTAAATAAAGGTAAAATACGGAGAGCACTCTGTAGTTTGTACAAGGAAACCTGAACAAAGGGAAGCCGGGAAAGGGACCCGCGATTGCTTGCACTCCACTTTGCAGCCCCAAACAACGAGATGCGATGTGTCAGAAGGACGCTACAGTACTGAGTGCTCCTTTCGCCCGCTCCCAACTCACGGAATAAGAGCAAATGAAATCAAGCTTGTTGAGCCAATGTGACACGCTCCAGAGGGTCGCACTGAAACGGCAGCCGATTTACCTTTCATGGCAGGAGCAGATTCCTCGCAAATCTGAAGTTTAGCAACAAAGCTCCCGAACAGCAAATCCGGCAGGGATGTAGCCAGCAGCTTGTAACCTAACAAACTCGCACCACTCCGTACCCGAATCTTTGACTATAGTTAAACAACTAGACCCTAGAAAAAAAACTACAAAGGCATCCCGACATAGTTGACAGTGCCTGGCCTTCACGAAACCGCCTGGAAATATTACACTGAACCGACTGAACCGCACGATGTGCAATCCTTATTTACAAGAGTCCCTTGCCGGACCGCCTGGCGAGCGATACAAATATAGTTATAGTCACTCTATAGTTATAGTTGCATGCACTCTTTATACCGTTTCTGGGTAGCTGGGCACAATCCGAGCTAAACCCATGCAGGCTTCTGCCGAATGAGCAACCTCGAGCTCAAGGATCCTTGACTCCCAAAGCTTAATGTGGGGGCGCCGCACCAAGTAGAACAGGGTTTTGGAGCCCATTATACTAGAATTATGATAAGGGGCCCCCAAAACAGTATAGGCTAGGTAATTATTTAAGCCCCTATATTGTCCAAAGACTCTATAGAACCTAACCCCGAATACGGTAGCTACTACGAGCCTATGGCCGTGGCTTTCAGTTTAACAAAGCTCATGGACAACCCTATTTTCCAAACTCTGTTGTATGTCTCAATATCTAGGTTGAATCCCAAGTAGCAACCCGCTGTAGGACCACTTGAAGGAAACCCGTTCAATCTATCAACCTTTCTTTGTCCAAAGGCACTAAGCCTAAGCGTGTGTACGACTTGTTGTTGCCGGACCTTTATCGTCACCCATGAGCCCAAAATACACAACGCATTTTGGCTGGAGAACCACCTGGTACCTCCGACCTCGCACCTAATTTGACGACAGCGCGATTCCAAACATCTAAATACGAAGCCCTCGGCGCTTTTGAGGAGGGGCTGCAGTCACATGCCCGCCTGACGCCGAAGCTTCAGCCCTCCTGTCTTAAGACTCCAAACTCATAAACCCTAGACTCTAGACCCTGAACCCTGAAATCCTAACCCCGGACCGTTAACCCAAAAAACCTACAGCCATCCGTACACCCCTGAACCCAAAGCCCCCTTATAGATCCCTCTAAAAGGAACCCTGGAAATAAACCCCACAGCCTGTCGTTAAGTCCGGCCTGCCACTGTCGACTTAGTTTCCAGCGTGTGATTTCGCGGGCATCCGCCGCAGGGGCTTGCCACACCTTGGCTATGGGATTTGGGCCGGAGGGTTTCTGGTTTAGGGCTTTGTGGATTTTAACCTTTTTTTCTGGGGATTTAGTGTGTGTTTTGAGGGTGTGGGGTCTTGGGGTTTGGGATGGTGTGTTGCCAGAATGCTGCCAGAATATTAGCCTGCAACTTTCCTGGCAAGAACGTCTCTGATCCTGCTACACTCACCACCGCTGACAGCAGCTGATCCGTCACAGCATTCTTTTTGGAGGTTGAGCCGAGGGCTTCGTCACACTTGCACGAGAGTGTCTGCATGCAAGCTTCCCAGGTTAGTGCACCCCACGGTGAAAGGAAAGCAGAAAAGATGAGATGAGAAAGTATTACGATTAAACATCTTGGTCTTATTGCTATCACTGCTGTTACCCTTATGATTCTCATTTTTGATTGCCCGAGCCACCCGACTAGAAACAAACTGAACCGAGAAACGGCTGCATCGAGCGTCTCCGGCTGGGCCTTCGGCATCAAAGCGCATGGTACAGTGGGCTTGAGGTTACGTGTAAGGTTGAGGGGCCTATAAGTATACTAAGAAGACCGACATAGATGGAACAACTCTTTTGAGCTCGTCTGCAGCTTTGCCAAACCTCTTTGGGGCTTCTTAGAGCCTCCTCCCATCCCGGAGTCTTGATGGACCTTTAAGTCAAAAGCCATAATCGAACTGCACATATTGACTTCCTTGGCCTCTTGTAGTCTGCGCTGCCGCTGCGGAACAACCAACGGCAAGATGGCGCCTTAGGTCGGGAGAGTTGAAAGAATGAGGCCGGAGAGAGCACGTGTCTTTAACTATAAAAATGGTCATACTATGAAATATGCAACTTTTGCCTGTTTTGAAACATCAGGGCACAAAGACTGAACATTAGCTCAAACTGACAGGAGGCAGCAGCGGAAACATCTATGACGATGGAGAGAGAACTTGAAATCATAAATAACAACTACGGCAAAATTTGCATGTAGTCGAGTACTCAAGTCAACACTAACTTACCTCAGGCTTGCGAAGTCCAGATTGTCAGAGCCTTTGGACCTCAGAACCTATCGTCCACTGCATGGTTCCCTGTCCTGGAAGTGGGCTCCAAAATGCCCAAGCCCATAAAAGAGAGGAGAAAAGGTCTGAGTTGATGCATCTACAAAGCCACTGCCAGTGCCAGACCACCAACTCAAGAAAAAAAGAACTCTTCGTCTGAGAGGCAAAAACACCTCAGGAAAAAAGCAGCCTGACGCAAGCCCCTCGCAAACCCTGCAGCTGAGACACCGAGAAGAAACCCGCCGATCAGAACGGACACGTAGCCCCTGGGATCTCCAGGAAGCTATCGATTTTGCTTCACAAACAAGTCGCATCAGGCATGTCGGATGTGAAACCCTCACCGATGTGATTCTGCATGAGATGCCCCAGATGCTCAGTGTACATGAAGCACCTGCATTTTTATGTAGGACCTTGCATAAAGCCATCACCGGATCCTGAAAACGGGTTCTAACCACCCCGAGATCTCAACTCGAAGCACCAACCTCGTCTTCACTATAAGCGTTGACAGGAGCCAAGCAACGCCCAACGGATCATCACAGCCATTTTCTGTGTGTGTGTGTGTGCGAGTTTTAGACTTAGGGGAAAGGTAAGCCAAACCCTCAACACAGCACTTTCAGCTTAATCCCTTAGGCCCGAACTCTGAAAGCCATGCATGCAAACTCTCGTGATTGGTCCAATATCGGAGCCTTATAGAGTAGAATAGGGCTTGGGGGTATTTTGTGCTACAGTTGTATTTAAGCACCCGAAGGAATTATATGCACTTCTTTCTTGGCCGCATTACACCCTCCTTGTAGAGCGAGGGGGTCCAGGCAAACTCGAAAAGCAGCTCGTGTGCTTTGAGCCAGTGGGCTTCGCGAAAACAGTTAGCAGAGGGTGTGCCCGTTTCGGGGTACTAACTAACCGCAACCCAATATCCAAATATCATTGCCAATATATGTATATCTCAAGCCCAAATACCGTACCCCATCCTAGGAATCCCACCGAAGACTCACCTCAACCACTACCTTCTAACAGGATCCCAACCATCTAAATCCACCAAGAGTATCACCACCATTATCCTCCTTTGAAACCTCAACCCTTAACCCAAATCCTTGCCCGGTCCACCATATGTAATGACTCTTTCCTCCTACACTCAACATGCCACCATGGCAAGAGATTGCCCAAAATACCGGCTACCGAAGCGGGCATTTCTGAAGGAAGACGCCGTTTACTGTAGCGGAACTCAGCACCCGGCCCCCTCCCAACCTACACACTCCCGTACTACGACCTGCAGCAGACATGAGCTCCTGAATTTAAGATCCTAAACTCTTCAGTCGTGAGATTCTGCGGTGTTAGGACAGGTCTAAGGGTAGGGGTTTTGGATTAATCCCCTATAGTAAAGTAAGACTCCGGTAGGAACCCTTATACTCAGCATCCGAACACTGAACTCACCCGACCGACGGAGATGCGGAGCAGAAAAAGCGATAAGGGCCCGAGCTCCCCAAACTGCTGAAGATGACTCAGATCACAAGCCTCAGGGTGGTTTTTGCCCTTTGGGTTTAGGGTTCAGCAATTTGAATCTGCTGCTTCCTGAACCCTGAACCCTGAAGCCTAAATAAGGCAGATCCCAGAATGCTTCAGTGCTCGCCACAATCGTGACCCAGACTTTCTAGAGCCGCCAAGCCCACAATGGAAGGGGCTTAATAATGAGAGTAGGGCTCGGGAAGGAATCTCATGTCTCCTTTGCTGAAAACCTGACATGCTATGACTTGCTGAAGAGTCCAATGTCTAGCTCTGTCTAGCTTCTTCTACTTTGTGTAGCTTTTCCTAGCTTTGTCTAGGCTTTCATAGCAAACTGGAAATTGAGATCGGGAGGCCCCCAAACATCTACTGGCGCGAATGGAGGATTGTGGAAACTGAGGGTGTGTGTGCCATGAGATATTGAGGCCATATGGATGGATGGAAAACTGTAGTCACTGTTTTTGGAATTTGTCGCAGTTTGTCCTAGCTCTCTGGAACTTTTCCTCAGCTCGCACAGAGTAACCGCATTAGTATAGCACCTCATGTGTTGGCTCGTGTCATTTACTATGCTGATAATAAGGAATGTTCAGGAATAGTATTCGCAAGTATTCAAACCCCGAAGTTATTCTAGACCAGGGGTCCCCATAAGGGCGAAGCAAGTGTTGCCATGAGGGCTCTATAAAGGTTACTTTGAGGTTCAACCCTGAAGCAAGCAATCTTGAAAGCCCCTTCAATCAGTCGCCTCTCTGTTTAAGCCTGAGAGCTGCTAAGGCCCGGGGAATCGTCCTCCAGCGCGTGACGAGCCGAACCCAAAGGTCGCAAAGCCTTGGAAGACAAACAAAGCAAGAACCAAAGTGTAAATTAGAATAGGGTTTTGAGGAATATTTTACTATAGTTATAATAAGGACCCCCCCCCAAAAAAAAATAGTACGTTGTCGAATTTTTTTGCCACTCGCAACTCGGCAATGATTGCAGGGCGTAGGATTTAGAGGCAATAGGGGCTCACAGAAGGTTTCGGGTGTAACCAACATCTCAAGCTGTCGCCGGAAACCCTTGATGTGCAGATGCGAATGCGACCGATTCTTGCGCTCGGGAAGAAGCAGTTTAGAGAGGCTTGAACCTGCAAAACGACCCTGGGTGAAGTCTTGTTGCGTGCCTGCAAATCGCCACAACTCATGCCCCCAAGCTCAGATGGAGCCTGAAAAGTGGTGGCCCTTAGCCATATCGAGCGAGGCTCTCATGGGGCGGCTCTTCGTCTGTGCCCACAGAGTTCCTTGCAAGCTTCTGCTTTGTCGGGTGTGGCTCTGCTCGAAATCATGCTGAAAAATGCTGTGGGATGCGAGGCAAAGGATCCTACAGCTTCACCGGGCGTTAAGACTTGGTGGTGGAAGCTTGAGGTGCTGAACCTTGCGATCTCTGTGACACTGCTTGACCTTGCTGTAAGATGCACTGCACATAGCCAAGGTTGCACCAGACATGCTGCGCACATGGTGAACCTGTCCCGTGTCATGCTGCAGAAAACTCGTGCCACTAGGGTAGTGAAGGCAGATCACAAAGCAGGAACTGGCGTCGCATTGCAGGCCAGACTCTCTTCAGTTCCTTCGGTGATGGTCTCCGTGGAGACCATGGCACATACCGTCGATAATAGTCTTCAGACAGTTCGTCCCAGTGTGGGTTGCTGAGATCGGAGGCCCTTTATCCATCCAGGGCATTGGATTCGGAGCTCAGGAACCTTCACCTTTCACCTGTCTCGGGGTTGCGAGTTGGGTTGTCCAAGTTCTTGGTCTGTCAAACGTTGGACATCCGTGTTCAAAACATGCGGCGCACGCTGTGGCACCGTAAATTCGCACAATCTGCCGACGGTGATTGGAAAGGCTGTGATGTGATTACAAGACAGCTGTGGATCTGAATCGTTGAGTGTGACAGTAGAATCACGAGAACTGATCTGGTGTTGTTGCTTGCATTGAATCCAGCTAGACTGCGAATGAGCATATATCACCAGCGGCAAGGAGCAGACGGCGAACCCGGACAAACAACTTCGCAGAATTGCAACATTGTCCACAAAATTAGGGTTCAACTTCCGACAGGCATCTATGAATGTGTAGATTTCGAAAGCCTGCGAGTGCCCTTGAGTCGAAAGCTCAACCGCTTGCATCCGCTTGCTCTTTTCACACAGCAAACTAAAAGTCACGAAATAAACACCCAGTACACATGAGAGACAGAGAGAGACAAAGATACAAGGGTTTCAAAGGCATTCGGCAGCACACCGTCAAAACCTTCGGGGAAGCTTGGAGCATGCGGACCCGAGTCCACAAACACCAACACACCTCAACGGTGAACTGCTGTCAGGTTTCATCTGCTACAACCTTTACGAATCACAACATACCGCACCATACACTGTGCGAAGCCACCGTGGTAAGAGTGAAAACTGTCACTATCATCGTTAGTAGTGCCATCACCTCCTCCACTTTGAACGTCCCCCTCATCTCAGCACTACTTGAGGTTCCACGCACAATCCGAAGAGTCCGTGGCCCAAAACACAGAACCTTTCCACACACTGACACTCGACTGTACCAGTCTGGACCTTCAGAACATCGTCACAATACCTGTCCGAAAACAATGCGCACCGAACCCTGGCTGAGGGAGGTGAGGGCTCAAAGAGTTAGTTTTCCTTTAGACTGAAACTCTCCATACCAATGTGTCTATGTTCCGGCTGCTGCGAGTCCGCAAGATGCAAGGGGCCAAGACCGAGAAGAAGTGGTCTCTTGCATGCTGCGCTTTGATCCTGCACCATGAAGCAGCTCGCACCAAATCACAGCAAAGCACTGAAATTCAGGCACTGCCGTAACCATTAGACATACATATATTATGTTCGAATATGTTCTATTATATTTTGGCTCCCACATGGCAGCTTCCGAAGATTCCGCTTGGCAGGTCACACTTTGGCCACGAGCTAGTAGACTCTATATTATATGAGACTAGGTTGCATTACATCATAGCACGTTATAGTATATTATGTTATACCATGGTATGTCAGATTTGGTTGTGGTATAGTGTACTATATTTCATTGTATTGTATGATAATATATCATAATGTGTTTCGTTATATTTTACCACGCTAGTTATGTTATGTGTTATCATGTTACATCACATTCATATATCATGTTATATTATACTACATTACATTACATCTACATTACATTACATTCCAACATAGTATTTTATAGTACATTCGCATACACATATGTACGGAGACAGACAAACAGACACAGAGACCGACGGACGAGCGGACCTACAGACGACAGACAACCAGAAAGAGGCATGCAACGACATGCAGATATTGTCTGTACGCACTTGCCTTTTTGCATGCTGTATATGTATGAACGCACGCATGTGTGCATGCATCCGTGCATGCATGGCTGGCTTGCTGTGTGTCTATGTAAGAGTTCTGCATGGACGGACAATACTGTATCGTCTGTAGACCTAAGAAATAACACACGATGTACGAGGAAGAAAACGAATTGCTATACCATCTTCTGATACGTTTAAATGCATGTGTGTGTCGACGGCTGTTTCCCGAAAATTATGTAGGCGCCTGTAAATTTCAGGGCATTGTTCTCGACCCATCCTAGAATGATCGCTGACCAGTTCCATCACAATGCAGACCCTTGACTAACAAATCAAGGTTAAGGAGAGAAATCAGGGGTCGAAAGCCAAGGCAACCTCTTTTCCCGTTAGGACTTAATGTCCATTCGTCTGTGCAGTTTGAGGCCGGCATCTCTGGTTGTATTGTAGGCTCCAGAGACACATAGCACTTTAACTCTTTTCAGGGTTCTCTTTGCAATTGAAGAATCAAGTTGCCCGAAATTCCTCGCCATGGCCGATGCAATGCCCAGTGTGGCGACCAGACCTGGGATAGGGATGACAGAAAGCTGCCGTGCGGAACATGTGGGATCACTTGGGGTTGTCCCTCTTCTATGTTTTCTCTGTTGGCCTTTGTTCTCGTTCCAGGACGAGCTTCGCCACAACCTGTCCTGTAACGTGAATGCACGACCCTCAAACAAATCCAATCGGAACCTTGACAGCCCCAACTCTCCGAGAACACGGCATGCTGCCACTTTGGAGATCGTGTTGGACGGGTTCCTGGCTGACAGAGCTTTAGTTTCCCACGGTTTACCTGATTCTGTCGTCATCGGTCGCGCAAGTTCGAACTTTCTGGGACTACGATTCTCCCGTGTTCTGTCTGTGATCTCTTCCAAGTGGCCCCGCAACATAGACAAAATGGCAAGCGAAGCTACAATGGCTAACTACGTCGAGGGTTGAGTGGGATTACGGCTTGCGATTGTGGAACTAGTCAAGGTCAAAGCAGAACACAAATTGAAGCCCCCTCTTCAGCATTTTTCTGTGACCGCCGCAGTCGCCTTTCTATACACACCATCTCTTGCGGCCAGATGCGGTGCAAGAAAGTGTTCGGGCAGGGGCAGTTATAGGCTTTGGTACAGGTTTCTGGGCTCGAACATGCAATGCTGCATGTTGATCGCGTCGTCCCTGAGGAGTAGTCTGCAATCTTCTTCAGCGAATTCCAACCCGAGGCGGACGCTAGAGAGGCACTTGATGGCCCACTGTGTGAAACGGTTCTGCAGGCAAAGGCTCTCCGAAGGCTTCAGAAGGCTCCACTCGCTTCATTGGAGCTTGTCCTGATTTACGTATGCTGAGATTCTCTTTCTCTTGGTGCACATGTGCTTCCAGAGCCTGTGCATCAGTCTGTAAGCCTGTATGGATGCAGCAGCGACCAATCGCATGCAGTGCCACAGTACCATTTACAGGTAGCTGTTAGCCTTTTCACAGGAGCGTCCTGCGCGGAGTAGTCTCTGGCAGATATTTCCCTTAAGCAACATTCAGCCTGCTTCAGCCATCTTTTTTTGCGCCACTCTGACTTGCTACTGCGCACAACCCAAGCTGAAGCAGCAACTCTGTGCACAACGATGCCCCCGCGAAATGTGAATTGCAGGATCTTGTGAGAAATTCGGGGACCCACCCTTGATAGCTTCGCTGTCCGGGCTCATGAAGCCCTAACTCCCCAAGCCCCCTGTCAAGCTGATTCGAGCATGTAGCGCTTGCAGATTGTTGTGCTTTCGAGATCAGGGCTTTATATATCTCGAATGCCATCTTTGCAGCCGACTGTCTCGACCACCGCCGTACCGGCACTACCCCTGCACCTAGCACGACACCATAGAGAAAGGACAGTTCTTGACTCAGGTGGTCTCGTTGTGGTGAAATGCACTGAGAGCCATGATGGACGGTCTGTGTGTAGATGCGGTTGTCGGGTGTGCCCCCTGCCGGCAGCTGGTGTGCTAGGCTCCTCCTCTCTTAGGAGTGGGACTGTCGAAAAAAGGTCTGAAAATTTCAGAATTCGTTGATGGGCGTTGAGAGTGGGGCTTCGGGATGGTCCAGAGAACTGACTACTTGAAACCGACGGCCCAGTGCTTCGTGTAAGTCCGTAGACGCTTCATCCTCTAGCATCCTAGCCTTCGAAGTCCGCAGCAGCTACGTACTCATGGGGACAGGACGAGATTTCTGAAGGAGATGAAACTGAAGATCAACACCACAAAAGAATGTCGCACCACTACAAAGACAAGCAGCAGTTCGAATGCTTCTGGTCATGTACAACCCATCTCGTCATCGACACCAGCAGCATTAGCTGCACCAACCGCATCATCAACAAAGGCAATATCATGAAGAAGCAGTGTAGTGATCGTAGAACCGGTTGAAGTCGTCGCGGTACTTTGGACTGATCGAAAGGTCCGCGAATGGACCTCTCTGTGCTGCCATGCAAAAGGAATACTTGTCGACGGGATTCCTGCGAGGAAAGGGCAGCCGGATCTTATGTCTCGTGGGGCTGAAAATGTGAGGAGAAGTATGCAGGTCGCTTTCTTTGCCGCAGCCTTTGCCCTTCCAACCCAACAGGCAAGCGTATGCCCACCCTTTCCTCCTCTTCCGACCTTATGAATATATAGTACATTATAATGTATTACAACATATTATGGTAGGTTAAAGTTATTTACAGTGTAGTAAGCATGTCTTATCTTCCTTTCTTGCTTTGTTCGAAACCTCTCTACCTCTCCTGCTCTCCTGCTTGGTCTCCTTACCTGACTCACATCCATCGAACCGGCCTGCAATTCTGAATCCAAGATCCTATAATAACCTCAAGGCAGCAGGCTCCTGCCTACAAGTTTTGCTGCTCGACGACGCCCTTGATATACTCCGCTCCGACGACCTTACGGCAGCGGGCGAAGAGAAGGTCTCAACCCAAACAGGCTGCATGGGCTTCATCCAGCATATCTCCCTGGATCCGGAATCCACGTGGGTGACCATCGTGCGCAACAAGGTTTAGGCTTAGAGGCTTAGTCTGGGATCAGGGTTACATCATCTAACTAATGCAGGCATCTTTTTTCGTAGGGGCGACACAGGTGCTATGCGCCTCGGCCTCCCTCAGCTATGAACAGCTTGTTATACCCGAAAAAAGCCGCCTTGACCTTGCACTTTGTATGTATGTATGTATATATATA